CGCGTAACTGCTCGAAGGCGAATGCAGCAGCTGGATGCAACAAACAGCGTTAACAAAAGTTTTAACAACGGTTGCAAGATTTTTCGCCTCGCGTGTTCCAGATTCGTGCTTATACTCGGTTCTTTGCGTCGAACAGCCGTTCCACGTCCGACTACAAATGTCACGAAGACTTTCCTCGGACATCTGCGGATTGTCAGTCCGCGGCTAACCGAGATTGCTATCGCATACGTATATCGCGTACAGCTTCACAATTCATCGCTGAACCGATGAACTCGCGACGCGAGTATATTCGTTACCAGGTGGAATAGAATCGGAAGCTCGTTCAATTGGGCTACTGGCCAGCAGCGAGGCTCGGCTAGTCGTCTGTCAGCGGCTAAGTAGCTTGGAATTTTTTCATATATCGTAAAACGTTTTCTTCTCGTTAACTCGTCGCTGTTGCGGTTGTGCAACAGCTGTAACGACGAGACTGCTCGATGTCGCGCGACGCGACTTTTACTGCGGGCCTACCTCGAAGAAGCCTATCTCGGTGAAACCTGCACGAGTGATGGAGGATGATTTAAGGCCGTCGAATAATTAAGGAAAGTATTTTACGCGTCGTAAATAAGAGACATCGTCGTCGTGGCGTTAAACGTTTCGCTTTGTAGGGAATTGTTCGTGACATTGGCGAGAAATGACTCGCGACACTGTGGACACGTGCTGCGTGTCGTGAACTTCAATTTGGATATTTTTAAATCGTGCGCGAACACGTTCGCGAGAATACGACGTAAATAAAAATTTGCATTTGCATTTACACGTGGTAGACGGAATCGGCGATTGCGCGTGTAGAGTAACGTTGTCGTTTATAGGCGAATGATTACGTAGAGTAATTTGTAAAGAATGCAGGAGAGATGTAAAAATCAGAACTGAAGGGACGAACGAAGGGAAGGATAAAGTATGAAACGGCGACGAGACACACAGACTGTCGGTCTGTGCTCTAGACTCTACGTACCATAAATTCGTTCCCCGGAGGCCTAGGCGCTCGATTTTGCAACGGGCAGACTACTCGGGCAGCGGATGTTTTTCCCCTCCACGAGAGAAATCGATGGACCGAGAGGAGAGATTCCACCGGCTCCGGATCGCGATCGGCTAACGTGACGTTGTTCCGAGTCGGTGCTCTTCCGAGTCGAGGTTATAACCGCGCGCCGCCTCGAGATCCTTCGAGGTCAGGAATTCGAACTTGGCAAGAAGCGAGCCGTTACTTTTCGAGGAACCTCGATCCTTTTCACGCTCGACCAACACTTTCTGAGTGGATCCTTCGCTGGCAAGAATTCCCCTGTTCGCTTCGATAGTTTCCTGTCGTTTGAATCACCTTTGCAAACCGGGATGACGACGTACTTCTTCCACATCGAAGATGTAAAATCCGTGGAATATCCATCCATTCGATTCTGTACAAAAAGAAAGAAAAGGAAGAATTGTAAATCACATTGTTTGATAAAAAA